TGCTCGCACTCAAGAAAACTCTGGGGAACTGTGGGGGTGGTGGGTAAATGCCCCACAGTTTTCAAAATATTTTACAGAAAAAGTTTTGAAAAAGAGTTTCAGAAAACTGTGGTATCCTTACAGACAAAGAAGAGTGTCCTGGCCGAGCTGTTTCTGTGTAACAAGGAGAATTTGTAGGAGTGGGACAGGAGGAATAAAGAAAAATATAAATTACAGTTGGTATGTGCTGAGAGAACACACTGTGATATGGGTTGTCTTTCTGTACACTGTGAATATGTGTTGCTCCCAGTGGTTAATAAAGAAGCTGCTTTGGCCTATAGCAAGGCAGGACATAGCCAGCCAGGAAATTCAAGTAGAAATATAGGGAGAAGAGGATAGAGTTGGGAGACACCAATGAGCCACCCAAGAAGCAAGATACGGAAGTACCAGTAAGTCACCAGCCACATGGAGACACACAGATTAATAGAAATGGGTTAAATTAAGTTGTAAGAGCTAGCTAGTAACAAGACTTAGCCATAGGCTAAACAATTTCTAATTAATATTAAGTCTCTGAATGGTTATTTTAAGAGTGGCTATGGGACCTCGGAACTGGAGTGGGACAGAGAAAAGCATATGGCTACAATACTGGAGTTAATTCCTGAAGCTGACCTCTGAAATGGGCATTCAAAGCCCTATATCATCTCTCTCTACTAGGGCAATGCTAATATTACCCTAGACAAATCTCAGTCTCCTTGACAAAGGACCATCAAATGTGTCATAAAAAAATTCAGTATGCATTCATATGGTATACCATTCTTTAGATAACAGTACCACAGAAAGGGACATGTCTCCACATTGGTATGAATTTTGAACTGACACTATTATCTGAGAATCAAAGAAAATCCAGCTAATGGGAGTGACTGATGATTCCTGGATCATTAAATCACATACATCTCAATGTGAACTTACTAGGTTTATAATTGTTTACATATTTCTGGATATATAATTGAAACACGTAGATTCATCATCACTAAGATTTCATGTTGCTTACTTGCCTGTACAGACAGAGATGTTATTGCATATAGCAAAAAAACAAAGACTCTGAACTTGTCTCTTCTCTGTTGTTAATGAATAAAAGCTGTAGTAACCAAATCACCAAAGCATAAAGTTGATTGCAACTATATAAGCCACCTATTTTCACCAGAGAAAAAATACTCTTTCTGGAAGTCTTCAATGGGGATATCACATTAATATAAAAATAGGATTTCTTTTCTTAGTGTGTGGCCCTGTGAAACAGCATATGTCATATCATGTACAGCCACTATTGCTGTACATGAGGACATATGAGTGACTCAAGGAGTATACAATATTGAGACTAAAATCTAGATTATCCCTCAATTCTTGAATTAACTAGAACTCAAAATTAAGGCATAAAGACATTCCTTAAATAGATAACAGGGGCTTAAATACAGGAAGGAAGAAGAAAAGGAGATACTGTGCTTATGGTTTGGGTAAAATCTGGAGAATGGATGCCTTAGACTACCATCCTTGTTTGTTTTATAAATATTTCCACTCCCTACGTCTGTGGAGAGATGTATAGAATTGGTATCTTCCGTGTCTATATAGTTACCTCCTATGTGAATCAACCCTTCCCCTTTAAGCTGGAATGAACTGGATTCAGTAACAAGGACATTGTGCATGATTCTGACATGACCAGGAGAAGGGGAGAACATACCCCTGCTGTGTTAGTGTAGGTCCAAATCCTCTTCAACAGAAGAGTACCCTGTGTCTCAGAAAAGGAAAAAAAAATATCTGCAAGAGGAAAGAATGAAATTATGTATAGGGTCCTTCTACACAAGTCCTGGTGACCCTATAAAAGCTACATGCTCATAAGAACCCACCATAAGTACAGAGCATGAGTACACCCAAGTCACACAGAGAGCAGACTAAACTCATAAGTCTACAGATGCCATTACCATCACCTGTTTTATTCGTCAACATCTTACGTGACCTAGATTATCCTTCTATTCTGTGTGCATTAAAATTCCATACTACAGAACTTTTTCCTATCACTCACATGCTAGAATGTTCATTGGGCCTCTTAAAAGTTTGGAACCAAAACATATTACATTTTATGATACCAACGTGTAACATTTACTAGGTTATCTAAAGACTGAAAATTTTCAACCAGAATGCAGTCATTAATACAAGGATCTACAAGTGCTGTTATCTATACCACTGGAGACACTTGTAGTAGGTAAAAGTGGAACAGAGAAAGAAAATCTTGTGATTTTATTTTCTTCTCTCACTTCACAATTGACTTAAGGATCATAGATAAACAGTACAAGTTGTGTTAGATGTAGCACTCTGGTGTATGGTAATTAATGATAAAAAGTGTATAAATAGTTTTTCAGAAATTCTGAGTTAGCCACATCCAGATCTAAGATTTTAAAATATCATCCCCATTTACTCAGGTCTTTGCAAGTATCCAGTGTGATTTTTCACACGACAGGTTCAAATTCCACATACAAATTATGCAAATGTCACTGGTTTTCTGAACTTACGTTTTGTGGATAGATAAGAAGCTTGAAACATATGGGAGGAGAAACTATTCACCCCTCCTGTTTCTTATTTTCTTTCCCCATATTATAGATCACCATGCTTCTTCTTCATTTTGTTATTACATCTAAACACTGCTCCTGGTGAGAAGGATATGAGATGAAGTTTCACATCCCTACATTTTAAGCTGTCATGTGAATTATTTCTAGGAAATTATTTCTAGTAAATTATTTCTAGTAAAATTTATACTTTCAATAACTGTCATATGTCACAGAAGGTAAATAAGTCTGCTTTGGTAATGCTAACACTATGCATCTTTGACTTTAGCCATAGAGAAAGAGAGGACAAACCAAAACTGAATTAATGACAGGCAACCCTTTCCTCACCAACAGTGAACACTGAGCATCAGGAAAAAATATTGACAGCAGAGCAAAAGCTAACAATGGGATCCTTGTAAGCACTGAGCCCAATGAAAGGACACAAAACACCTCATAAAATCAGCCAGTATCAGAGGTCAGGATACTTCTGAGTGATATGTGGGAAGGCAGTACTGGGAAGAAATTTGTATGTGACCTCCCTTACTTTCTCAAACAAATACATCCCTTACTTTCCATACCACTGACTTTAGATTAAAAGACCCGAAATAAGACATTTAAGGACTTCAAAATTGTTACTTGTTCAGCTTCTGTGGATTTACATCATGATAATATAAAATAAATGTATACAGAAAATATGCTAGGAAGGTATTACCACAAATATCACTTTAGAACAGAAACAGTTCATTAAGTTACATAAAGTCAGTTTCCACTTTTGTTTAGAAAATACATGACTGAAAAATATCATTATGAGAATATATTATTCACAATAGAAAAAAATGTATTAAAATATATTGTGTTTATCTCCCAAATATTGGATTATAATGAAGTATAACAGCTTTCCATATTTCTATCTACTCTTTCCATTTTTTGCTCTGATAAGGCTGTAGCAAGTCTGTATTTTGGTAAAATGTAGGATTGTGAAATGGTCAGTCTTTTGCTCTAAAAAATGTTTCTATAACCTCAACGCAGAACCAAATCAGGAGATTTAAGCTGTCTTCAGATTTGGCGATCTGTTTTATTTCCCAGTCTTAATGTAGTTGATCTAACCATCTGTTCACTCACTCATTTATGAAAATATTCCCTTACCATACACCCTATGTGTCAGACTCAAAGGACTAGAAGTCAAAAAGAGCTACTAAAGTCACTCAGAATTCAGTTATTGCATGAGATTATAAATATTCTTCTTACTGGAAAACTTGCTACCAATGAGCTTTTATGCCACAATATTTTTTTCATGAAAGTAATTCTGTCACTAGTTTATCTTTATTCATATAAATTGATATACCTATTTTGTTACAATTTGTCCTATAATTTTGTAAGGTTTAGTTTAATTTTGAAGCTTATAAAACAATTATAATTACTATAGTTAGTTAAGGTATTTTAAACTTCTTATAATAAATTATAATCTAGTTAATAGTCATATTTTCATAGGAATCATTGGTATAAAAGTCTATATCTAATTCAATTAATGTTAACAGGCTTGAATTCCATTCTATGTATCAGGCTTTAAAACCAATCAGAAAATGGTTGGTTACAACCACGATATTTATGCAACTATTTCATTAACTTTATGTGATTAAATTTTCTTCATATGACAACCTGGATGCTCACTATAGTCGAAAACCAGTACCTAAAGCAAAAACAATAACATCTCAGTGTGATGTTCAATAAGCGAATCTTTGTTTTTATGGATTTATTTTTCTGGATCAGTAAAATTAAAATGGAATGTGATGTGTGACAGAAAACTACAGACAAAAGTACAGTATATTTCCAAATGTAAATTATATATTCTGAATAGTGTTGTCTATGGTCCAAGTTTCTATATTACAAGGTAATAATACCCATAGCATCTTTGGAGTAAAACATAATCAAGGCTCTGAGATAATTCTAATAACATTTGATTTGAAGGTCTTTATGTAATTCATAATTTTTAGTTCAAATAAGGTCTACTTTCTAGATTTGAATTTATTTTTATGTGTATACAATTGCACAGTATTATTTTTACTATATCTCACATGCATAGATACTCACCAATGCTTTTTATTATATAAAATAAAATAACTGGATCAAATAAGATCCAGAATGCTACTAAAATTATATCAGCTAATACAAAGTATTCTTACATTTAGCTAAGAATCATAACATTCTTTGTAAAACGCTAAAATATGCTAATATTAATATTTATATATATTTGTACATACCCAGATAAAGCTGTAGTGTGTTTAGGTAGCAGTTATCCTAAACATGACTAATAAACAAAGTAACATAGAATAAATAAACTGGAAAATATAATTTGTTAATGAACAAAAATTTCTTAACAAAGCAATTTCTTTCTTCATTATTAAAAATCTTTGACAAAGTGTATCACGGGACAAAGGTGTCTACATCTCTGGACCTGGACCTGCACCTCAGCCACCACAACAGCAAAAGCGAGGCCTGCCTCAGCTTGCTGTTTCTCAGAATCAGAACACATGAATGGAGTGAAGGAAAAGTAATTATAGCAGCAGCAAAAAACAAATTGTATTTCTCTATAAACTGAGAGACCCAAACTTGTGTGGCAAGAGACAGAAAGAAAACTGTGTAGAAGAGGAGAAAGGTAACCACAGTCTGCAAGGCGTTTATGTGGGCAATGGTGCTGGGGTCTCTGGTGCCTTTGACGTTGTACCACATGTTCTTCAGATGTGTCAGCAGAGAGAAAATGAGCAGGGTGAAAATGATCAGAGACACAGTGAAGGGGATGAGTGTGAACATTGTATTGGTTAAAAATATAAATCTGAAAACCTGTGTGCAATTATTTGATGTGGAACTGTAAGAGAAACTTTTTTTGGATTCATCAGCCCAGACATCAATATGTATGTTGATCACTAAAATATTTACAAACAAGAAGACCAGAGACAGCAGCAATGTCACTGAAATCACCTTCTTCAATCTCCACTTCAGGTAGAGAAAAATAGAGTTAGAAAAATTGGCTATCTTGAGAAAATAAAAGATGCTGAGGATGGTGGCCAGCCAGATGCTAAAATGATTTGCAAGAATCCAGGTGTTGTTTTCCATTCTTACCATTTTCACAGTCATTTCTAAATCTGGATACAGTGAATATATTAGTGAAATAATAAATACAGACCACAACATATTTATTCTGGAGATTGCCAAAGCAGTGAGTATCTGATCCACTGAAGAGATCTTTCTTCTCTTGACCCAGTCTATGATGATTACCAGAGCTATGAATCCATTTGCAGTGTTCCCGATTATGAATTCCACAATGATAGTAGCTTTGCATATGTTCTGTATGGCAATATCCATTGTCCATAAGAGAATATCCTGATGTCCGTCGTCACTGAATAATATTTGTTAATGTGTTCATTTTAAATGTTTTTAAAGAAATTCATAGCATCTTTCTAAAATTCCCAATACAGTAACAAATAAGAAAACACCAAGATTTACCAATGTAGCTGATCATAGTTGTATTTATATGAAAGTATGCTTTTTGACACAGTCCCACTGAGTCATATCCAGATTTCATGTGTCCTATGGTAGTCTCGAGTCTACTGCTACTGATGGTGAAGGAAATGCTGCAATCTCAGATGCTGAAACACAAATAAAGACATGTTGATTTGCATTAGTTTTCTAGTTTTTCTTTCTTTACATATTTTAATTGACAATTTGAGTAATGGGCAAGAAATATTCAAAACATTCTAAGGCCTGTAGAAGGCAACAAGAATCTCAGGATAAGGGAGTTCTTGAACATTGACATTATTTTCAATAATTCAGATTAAGACTCTAGGGGCTTATCACCAAAGCTCTTCTACAAATTATTACTTATCTATCTATTACGCTTTTGCTTGAATACATAATATTAAGAAAAAACTTTACAATTTATAACAGAAAACATCTATACATATTCATATAAACCATACACTTATTCAAGATCTAAATACTCATTTTTAACTTCATTGATACAAGTATTTTGATTTTACTCAACATTTATCATGCATTGAGCTCAGACTTTATAATAATTGATAAGAAATTGTTCCAAAGTGTTTCCACATTAAACTATTTAATGATAAATGTGAACATTTGCTAAACTTTGGGTAATGGGTCCTTTGTACATGTAAAGTAGTAGAAATATGTTGTGGTTCCCTGAAGTAGTCACTGAGAGGACGCAGCTCATTAATCAAGATCATATAAACAGGTGAGATACTAAGACAGAGGCACAGCTGCATCCAAGATTGGAGAACCAACCATTTCATGTTGACATGCTGTATGTTCTTGGCATAACTGAGACCGCATGTTTCAACCTTTATCACCTACCATAGAATAAAAATGCCATAAAAGACAATATAGCTTTGACACTAAATCATGATGAGTATTATCTTTGTAATCCAACCTTAAATTGTTTCAAATTTCCTTCAGAACCAACATGAATTAAAACATATTTGCCAAATAAATATTTATAGAGTTTGTATTCTGCTCAGTTAAGGTATTTTTACTGCATCTACTTAGCCGTGTTCACCGAACAATATATAAGATCATCAGCAAGAGTATTGTAACAGAATAGTTTAAAAAGCTGAAACATTATCTATGAAAGTTTAACAGGGAGTGAGAAGAAATGCTAAATGAACAAATATAAAAACCATAAAGAACAGTTCCTGAGAAACATGAAAAACTCAATCCATAATACTGACAGTTAATATGACTATGAGTTGGTAGCAGAGATTCACTGATGTCATTGACAAAGTCAGATTCATTGGAGTAAAGAAACACCAGCTTTATGTGCTAGGTTTATAAGACTGTGTTCAAAGATATTTTGTATTCTGAAAATGAAAGAATTGGAAAGGTACATGGGAAAGTTGTTTTCTGATGTTAGCCTTAAAGATGAAAGTCAAAGCCAGGAGTCCTATCCAAACCTTGCTTATGCTTTCTCCTGTTATCAGCAACTCTCCTGGTCTTCTTCACCTTAGATTGGTGGACCAGCTTAGATTTGTATCCCAAATTTCTCTTAAAGAGTTTACTATTCTTATTTATTCTGTAAGTAGCACATATTTGCTGGTATATCTAACAATCTTCTTACTAATCATATCTGAATTGCATCCCTGTCTCCTCTCAACCAAAGTCCAAGCCTCAACATGTTTTCAGATCCTTATGAAACATTCAAATCCCATAGGTACTCTGTAATTGTTTTATTTTTATTAGTAACAATTCTTATGTATTTGACATTACTCTTTTCCTTTTAGATTTCTGTCTTCATATTAATGTGTTGGGAAACTATAACAAAATACCAAGGGGCTAAAATAATAGAAATTAATTTTCTCAGAGTTCTGAAGGTTAGAAATCCAAAGTCAAGGTCCCACGGGTGGTTTTCTGGTGAGGCACCTCTCACTGACTTGTTGTCAGGTTGCCTTATCAGGCACCATTTCCTCTGAGCTTATGTGATCTTCCTCAAAACACATGCCATTCTGATTTAATTTCTATTATCTTTAAGTCCCTATTGGACTAAGGTCCTCCGCCTGACAATTTTAACTGAATGTCCCTCTATCTAATTCAATCAGAATGTGAAAAAGAATCAATTGCATGTTTTGTTTGTTGGACTATGGTTTACATGTTTTGCATGGAGTTCAAACAATTTTGTCCATGACAGAAAATCTGAAATACAATCCTTAACAACATGTACACATCAAGTAGAGGTAAGTCCAAGGACCTTCCCCTGCCTCAAGGCTGTGAGAGGTGTCCCATCACAGGTAGTAGACTCCAAAAAGCCTGCTCATCCACCAGAGATGGGTTCTGATCCTACCACCAGGGGGCCCCCAAGAAGATCAGGCTACACAATTGTCTTGCCACACAGAGGGCCCAGTCCAGTCCCATTCAGGCTCCACAGCTGTTGATCCAACTTTCATGAGTTCCCACTAGTTTGGTTTCGTTGTCTCTTCAGGTTTCCCCATTATAATTTTGATCCACTTGCTCATAGAATCCGTCTTCTCTCTCCCCGACTGGACTCTTGGAGCTTAGCCTGATGCCTGGCTGTGGATCCCTGCATCTGCTTCCGTCAGTCGCTGGAGAAAAACTCTGTGATGCCAGTTAGGATATTCACCAATCTGATCTCTGGGGAAAGCCAGTTGAGTTCAGGAACCCTCTCCACTATTTCTAGTAGTCTAAATTGGGGTCATCCCTGGAGATTCCTGGGATCTTCCCTAGCACCTGGTTTCTCTCTATCCCCATGATGTCTCTCTATATAATAGTATCTCTTTCACTGCTTTCTCACGCCATCCCTGTTCCAGCTAAACCATCCTGTTCCCTTTTGTTCTCATCTTCCATCTTCTACCCTCCATTGCCCACCATTCATTCCCAGTTTACTCATGGAGATTTCATCTATTTCCCCTTCCCAGGATGATTCATGCATCCCACTTTGGGTCTTCCTTGTTAGCGTGCTTCCCTGGAGTTGTAGGTTGTAGTCTGGTTATTCTTTGCTTTACATCTAGTATCCACTTATGAGTAAGTACATACCATGTTTGTCCTTCTGAGTCTGGGTTACCTTACTTAGGATGACACTGTCCCATTCATTTGCCTGCAAATTTCATGATGTCATTGTTTTTCTCTGCTGAGTAGTACTCCACTGTGTATATGTACCACATTTTCTTAATCCATTCTTGGGTTGAGGGGCATTTGGGTTGTTTCCAGGTCTGGCTATTACAAATAATGCTTCTATGAGCATAGTTGAGCATGTGTCCTTGTGGTATGATTGAGCATTCCTTAGGTGTATGCCCAAGAGTGGTATAGCTGGGTTTTGGGAAAGATTGATTCCCAATTTTCTGAGAAATCGCCATACTGATTTCCAAAGTGGCTGTATAAGTTTGCACTCCCACCAACAATGGAAGAGTGTTCCTCTTGCTCCATATCCTCTCCAACATAAGCTGTCTTCAGTGTTTTTGATCATAGTCATTCTGACAGGTGTAAGATGGTATCTCAGTGTCATTTTGATTTGCATTTCCTTTATGACTAAGGATGTTGAGAAACTCCTAAGATATCTTTTGTCCATTTGAGATTCTTCCTTTGATAATTCTTTGTTTAGCTCTGTAGCCCATTTTTTAGTTGGATTGTTCATTATTTTGATGTCTAGTTTCTTGAGTTATTTATATATTATGGAGATCAGTCCTCTGTCAGATGTGGGGTTGGTGAAGATCTTTTCCAATTCTGTAGGCTGTTGTTTTGTCTTATTTACTGTGTCCTTTGCCTTACAGAAGCTTCTCAGTTTCAAGAGGTCCCATTTATTGTTGCTCTCAGTGTCTGTGCTACTGTTGTTATATTTAGGAAGTAGTCTCCTGTGCCAATACATTCAAGACCACTTCCTATTTTCTCTTCTATCAGGTTCAGTGTAACTGGATTTATGTTGAGGTCTTTGATTCTTGAGTTTTGTGCATGGTGATAGATATGGATCTATTTGCAATCTTCTACATATTGATGTCCAGTTATGCCAGCACCATTATTTGAAGATGGTTTCTTTTTTCCATTGTACAATTTTGGTTTCTTTGTCAAAAATCAATTATCTCGTACATTCTTTTTTTTCTAATAAAAAATTGTATTTACTTAGAAGCATTCAGAATATCAACAAAACAGCTGCAATTTTTTTTTTTGCAATTACAGAGTGGTATTCAGTTAACAGAACAACAATTATCTTCGTAATAAGCTGCATCAGAGACAACTGAAGATTAAAAACAAATAAAACAAAAAAAATAAAATAAAATCAAAACAAAAACCTACCGTCCCCATATATAACTAATTTGTGCTGTGCACCAACAAGAACCTGCTTTAAACTTCCATGCCGATTTACAACCCCAGACTGGACCAGGCAAGGTTAGTGGCTCTTGAGAATACCACCAGGACAGGGCTACCTAAAGACACATTCGATAGTGTGTTAACTATACAAAAAGAGACACTGTACAGTTTAAGAACAAATCTTACACAGCCTTACATTTCAATTTTTTTCTTTAAAAGGAGTGAGTTGTGTACAGGGGGGTTAAATGCTTTATAGACAAGAAAAAAAACTGCGCTAGAACCAACTTATTCATCATCATCATCACCTTCTTCCTCTTCTGCCTCCTCTTCCTCCTCTTCCTCATCCTCCTCATCTTCCTCTTCCTTCTTTTTCCTGCTCTTTTCAGCCTTGACGACCCCCTTCTTCGCCGCATCGGGTTTTCCTTTAGCTCTGTAGGCAGCGATATCCTTCTCGTACTTCTCCTTCAGCTCGGCAGCCTTCTTCTCGTAGGGCTGCTTGTCGTCCGCAGCGGTGTTGTTCCACATCTCCCCCG